ATAGATGTCGGTACCTAAACGTCGGCAAATGCTCAACGAGTTGCCAGTGATCGCGGTGTCTCTCTGGAGATAATACTGTATAACTATAAACGAAGTGACATATTAGACGGGATATATACCCACAAAACACGTTAGTAAACCCGCTTCAAGCTTACATCGTACCCAACGTTACATCGTAGTTCTAACAAATGGCGGCTGATTTCTCCGTATCCGTCATTGTAGCCAGCTGGAATTCTTTTACTAAATGCGGAAGAGTTATTTACAGAGGCAATTATAATTTCAAATATATAAAGCAATATCTCCTGTCTCAATAATTGCAAACAATTTATACAAAAAGAAACATTTGCTCCTATTAGTGAAATAAAATATCTCTATGTATACATATCTCTTTGATTTGATATAGTTTTTTAATTAAGGTAATTTGGATACTATTCTTATGGCGAAGTACGCTTAATTTTTTAACAGTTTGCAACTGTTATGCCAACACACCGAAGATATGACTTAATTTAAAAGACCGAAACGAAAGAAAGTGATTCGGCCTATACATAGAGCATGCTGATAGGTAAGACGGGGTGTTTAGTCCGCGTCCGAGCGTAGTTTAAGTTCTTAATCTGTCCCGATTATACATTGATTCGCCCATACGAACGAATAAGTTGAACAACGGAACTTGAGATCGATACGCATGAGTGTAAAGAACGATTCATTTTATTCTGACATAAGAAAAAAGGTGAACGATCATTCTGCGATCTAATATTGTCGACATTTTCCCCTGTACTTTATTTACCTGGTTTGATGGCATGTTCTTTGAGTTACCTGTGAATAAATAAACAGTTTGTATTAAAACCATTGTAGCCGAAGGATCTCGTTTGAATGTACGCGCGGTGACACGCCCTTGCCGTGTACAGTCGAAGCACGCACCTGATGGGATGTCAGATTCAGATTTATTAGTTCATTAATAATTTTTTACTATATGTCGGTAACTTTTTCATTGAATAATCACTACGCCTTCTCTCAATTTATGTTCAGACTGAGAATACAAGTTAGTTAAAACTCTGCATTCGATAGACGTACGTCATATTCTACTTGGCTTGCCCTATCGAAAAATTGAAAGCATCGGACATCGAAAAAATACACTACGGTGATGCTCATCTCCGAAAAAAAATTCTCGATCGATAAGAGACTGAACCTATAAAACCTGAAACCGAGCCAAGTTAATGCGGGCCACTTTCTACAAGACCTCCACAGCTACTAGATCGTTTAGTCTGACTCTTGGCTTCTACCTACCGCGACTAAAGTTCAGTTTATGCAACTTAAGGCATGGCTAGCACGGTCTTATTTACGTAATCGGAAACATGCTTACCCTTAACCGGCACAAATAAATCGCCATATCTTGAGCCTATTGCTGGGCTTGAAGGCGGCAAGATTTAGCGCAGAGTGTCCCTGGCTTCGTGTCAAATTCGCTTTATTGCCCTAATAACAGAAACAGCTATTCTCAGCGATTGTTTTTACTGATCGGAGAGCTGCTTCAATAAGAACGAGTTGGAGATGGACCGACCACAGACGAACGGGTCTGCTTGACTGAATGAAGTGCTGATAGTTTACATTTTAGTAAGTAGTTTGCATTTAATTAAACACGCTGTTTACTAAAAGGTTTCATTCGAAATCGTTAAACTGATACAGTATACAACCGTGAGAGATATCTGCGGACCGGTGTACGACAGGGCCTGCACTGGACTTGAATGTATCTTAGACGAAAACGCTATAATCGATTTGACTATGTATGATGTCAAAAGATGCATATTTTGTAAACTCATAATTTAATAATTGATAAAATTAATAAATAATAAACAAAATAAATTCTGAAATAAATTAAAAATTAAGGTGAGAGCACAGTGTAGTAGCATGAAGTGCCGTTACTAACTAAGCACTTCAGGGATTGACCAATACACTGACTGAAATTCAGGAAGTCGTCATTTCGAACCTCATCAATTATCGTAACAGAATGCCGATCGGATACTGCATTCAGGTTGATAAATGCTAACTTTCGCGCATAGCGGACACGCGATTTTTTTTTTTGCTCTTCAATAAATAGTTTCTTAAATCACAGCTAAATTAGCGGTATCATCATACTTAAAAAATATTGTTTTCCGTCCGATTCGCACTCGTCAACCCATTTAGTTCTATAATAATAATAATAATAATAATAATCTATCTAACTATAATCTAATAAAGAACGCACTGGCCGTCCTTTTAGATAATGATCATAATTTATTGGAAGATGCCATGTTTTTGTAAACATGGATCGGTGTATAATCATAATCTTATCCGAAACTGCAGAGACAAGCTAACACCATTTTATTAGAAAATGACGAATAGGCAACCAATTTAGGTATCTATCAAACCCTTTTTTTTATTAAGGTAGCAAAATTCTAACTAAATAAACAGCCTATATCAGAATACCTGTTTTTGTTCTGGACGAAGTGAAGGTAAAGTGAGAGAGCTTATTTCTATCGCTGAGACTGGTACTGCGATCTTCTATAAACTGTTCCAACATTATTCAAATGATTTTATGTACAAGTACGGTCTGATTTACGTCCATCGTTATGCGAAGCTTCGACGCGCTCAGCTAGAAATGAACGTATATCCATTCCAGTGCCATCTTTCATAAACGACAGATTCCGTAGATCTCTGTGTTGCAGAGGTTCGCGCTAGTTCCACAATTTTGCAACAGAAGTTTAAGTCGACGCTGCTTTTCTACACGTATATGTGTATATTCGTTCATCCACAGTGGGTAGCGTGCTCCTCTGTCAGCGATTGTGCGCAGGTTCGCGAAGCATCACGGAATACTCACTATGAGTTGACCGACACGTACATGATCTACGTATCAGCCCCATCTGCCTTGCTAATGGTTCCCTGATTCGCCAGCCGACACATAGACGACCTTGCCTTCTTTCTTATCGCCACCCCGTCCTCCACTCCAGCGATTCCTTATGATTGTTTCTTGTGATAGTAGACTATATGCCCGATGCTGTTTCTTGTTTAAGTTCGAATAGGCTACGAACCTTCTACAAAGAAGAACTGTCATCGGTGTATAGGAACTCATGTGTATATCTTGTTCGACAATGTTACCGTTTTCGTTTGTATTTCTGGAGTTGATGAAAGCGGATACACTAAGTTGACCGTTAGCTCTAAAACAAAGTCTAGCATATATCCTAGCTAGATATAGCAGAATAAACGTCCGTCCGCTCTGTGAACGTCATTATTTTCTTATTCATCTTAACATCTGCACAGCAGGCTACTGTTGCAGGATTTTTGGCCTAATACTCAGCCTGGATGTGCCTCAGCGGTTTTTCTCGACAATTTGTCGTTTCTGTTTCCTCTTCCATATGATAAACTGCCTAACAAAGATCTCATTTCGGAGGAGGCACGCGTCATTTCGTGCTCGCCAACTAACTCTTTACGGAGTACCGGACATAAACAGTCTAAACATTACCTTAGAATATGAATTACAAGACAATCAGTTGGAAGAAATTCCGCAACAGATCCTCCATTGTTTCTGCTTGAGATTATTCATCAGGGGACCAGCCTATCTGGTTACTTCAAGGCGTTAGGAAACAACATACCAGGCTGAGGACTGGGCCGATTTAAACCAACAAAAGTCTCTAGATTTGTTTTTATTAATTCCCTGTTCTTAGAGATCTGTTGTAATATAAACACATACGCTCACACTAGTTATCACATTTCGAAGTTTTCGTTTATCTACTAAAATGGCTATGTATAAGTAAGTGTGACAGTAACATATAGCCAATGTATTCAAGTTAGTATTTGTTCCGTGCTAGAATGCTATCGTGAGTACAGATACCTCCTCAAGCAGAATATATATATATATATAACGCCTAAACGTAAATATATACTTCTTCTATAAACGAAAATTCTGTGCGAATTAAATGACCTATTAAATGCATTAATTAAGTAAATATTAATACTGCACGATACTGCTTTTTGTGTTGTCGTACGAAGCAAGCAAGCAAGCAAGCAAGGGTGAAGCGACATTGGTCGATTGTTGTGCCCAATCAACCAACTGCCAACAAACCTAAAATGGCATGCGCCTAAACACCAATGTACTAAATAACATAACCTTAATCACAACGGTTGTAGGTCGAAATGGATGGTACTCATTCGTTTTTTTTGGGCTCTTCAAAGCTAACCATTGAGAAGCACATCGTGCTATTACCTACGATATGTTGATCTTTGGCGGTCTCTGTTTGGCCCGACGTATTTCTTCCTTTTTTTGTCGTCATATAGCTCTGTATATAAAAGTTAACAAAAAATCCTAAAATAAGTATAACCTGTGGGATTGCAACGCACAGGAGTACACGAGGATATCCGCAGTCGATCCAGACAGGAATGAGAGCGTGGCCTATCATGAGGAGAAATTGAACAATTTGTATTGTAGTAAGATACTTCTTCCACCAAAGGTAAGGCTGCATTTGGGGACCTAGCGAGGCGAGAAAATAATATGAATACATGATAATATGGATTGTCGCATTAAGACATACCGCCAAAACGCTCTGGCCGTCCGCACCAAAGCGCAAAAATTGCCAACCCGCAAATACGACAATTGTATGATGAATTACATGCAGCTGAGAGATATGCGTAAATTTCTTTTTAAGTATGAAAAATAGCGTATCCGCGAAATCAATTGTACGAACCAATAGATAATAATAAAGCGTGTTAATAAGCTCTACTGAGTCAGGTTGCATTGAGTAGGATAGGCCTTGACAAAATGGCGAATAATTCAATTTGTTGAAGGCAAGGTAGAAAAGCCGTGAGCAAAAGTAGGAATTTGCTATGATCTGGAACACGTTATAGCACTGGATAACTCGACTGAGATCGTATGGTTTACGATCCCGCATGAATCGTGGACCCCAAATTTTGGCCATATACAGGTAACCGAGAATGGTTATAGCAATATATTTAGGGTCCTTCATTGTTACCCAGTCGGCCGTGCGCGGATCCTTTAAGGCTAGGAGCTGTTCAACGAGAGGCATTTGCGGATCGTAGACCTTAGTCGTCATGTTTCACTACAAATCAATTCCGGTTGCTCTCAGCTTATACAGCAATGTTCGTTGAAAATAAAATCGGCGAGGATGTAAACGAAGACGGGATAGATGAGGCAGGCATGAATTCGGCACAACTGTATTTCAGATACCACCGGCGCGTCGAATTTTATGCAGGTCTGCACAAAAATTCACTCCAACTGAGGGTAAGGCCAACTTCTCTGTAGGGATTTATGGCACAGTTGCTGTTCAGGACGGGAGACACTCTGTCACTAGAAAATTGTACAACGTTATCAAGCACAAAGTCAACCCACTTCGATGGAGATCGCGTCCAAAGGAACAACTCTTCTGTTGGGTCCTAGAGGATCACCTTATATTGGTAGTTATTTAAATAGCACGCCGCGAAACAGCGGAAAGGGGTAATCCAGCCCTTCCCACGTTATTCATTGCGCGGTGCTTAATGTGAACAGATATGAACAGGAGATAAATAACTTAGTAATACTGTATATTTTCATCCGTTAGGTGACATAACAATAACTGCTTAAAGGGATCTCAAGGGAAAGGAAGGAAAACATAACATGTGGCAATATCGATACATTTAGTATTAGCTGGTTTTGAGCTGATCAGCAGAAATTTCTCTTTGCATAGTTCAATCAAATCACTTACCGTTTTTACTGTATTCTAGCTGTACTGTCATCATTGCCGCAACCTTATGATGCTCTTTTATACCTTCAAACGTAAGCTTTTCTTCGTATCTAAAATGTTTTGTGTAGCCGTACGGTAAATCTTGTAATAAATTGTGGTCACCACGTTCGTCTGAATTGGATAATGTTAGCCATTAAGTCTTGAGAAGACCGAAAAGGTATGACAAAAGGATTGGCCGAGATGACAGTATCCGATCTAACTAGGATCAAAATCCTAAAGTATAACGTGTACCCACCGCACGACGATTTCAACCTTCATTCCATTACACGTTCTTGTCAAACTGACCCTTTTGAGCATTCATCATTGAGCCAATCAGTTAATCTGCATGTCTATTAGAGTGAATTACGTACCACACAGATGCTGAGACTTTTGTTTTTCTTGAAACGCAGTGGTCTGGCGACATTTAAGAAAAAATATCCACAATTTTTACGTTTGAATTCTTGGTAAAGTTTATTTCAATTAAAGATAAAAACTGTGGGATATGTTTGTTTGTCTAACCGTCATACATCTATGGCAGCTTCCAGACAAACCGTATTTTCCGTAACTACTTTTAGCAGTATTATTGAAGCTCAACGTTATTGTCCTTGAAACCGAGCAGTGCCTCTCATCGGACTTTTTTGAAAATTAGGTATCAGGACGAAGTTGATATAAATATAATCGAGAGTCGATATTTCGGTATGAGTCGAGACCGGTTTTTTTTTTAATACTTACTAAATAAAGCCCAGACAGCTAAGCTATTTCTATAAGTAATGTGTATATATGGGTGATTTTTTGTCACCGCGGTTACCGATAACTTTTCAATGGAAGCCTACAACAGCGTATTGATATCTAAGATAGGGGTCAAGACCTAGGTACATCGGTAGGGTAAGGTCGTAATATTAGCATTCTAACTATTATTAGGTGATTATTGCGAATACGGATTATTTTAAAAATATTTTTATTGTTTCATCTGACATCTTATCTCCGGCTCTTTTCCTAGTTACTACCCAAATGGGACTGAAATAGATTAACATGTAGTTTCGTCTGATTTATCTTAGAAGCGAACACACTGACTCATGATAGGTTCTAATTTAAAGGGAAAGAGGAGGGTAAACTCTGTAATCTCATTTTACGATCGCTCATGTTCATTTGCTATATGGGGTTTGTCTATGAGTCGTTAGGTGATGCGCTTTCAAGTATATATACAGTTGTTCTTTGTACATCTGCGTACCAGCACAGAAAACCCTGTACGATACGCAGTAAATGATGCCCTTCAGGATTTACGGAAATCAAAACCCAAATCTAATTCAGTCTAATTTCCTTAAAAGGACCAGCTTCTTTTGAACGTCATCACCTATGACGAACATGCGCAAGCGTATATTTTGTTTTGAGAACTGCTTTTAATAACGTACCCGTGTTGATAAAAGAAAAAAAAAACTTGGTACATGTTTTTAGTATAGTGCAGATAGAACAAAAGCGAAATTTTACCATGGAAAACGTCTATTAAGCCGATAGATGGCGCAGACATAATTTGTGGACTGCCATCGCCGACTGCACCAGGAAAAGTCGGTGATGGCAATTGTATCCTGCGAGTTGTATTACATTAGTTTTCAGTATATAAACCTGACGTTATGCAACGTACTCGGACAATACACTTAAGTCGAGGATATGCGAAATTGAAGTTGGAAGGACTAGCGAAACCCTCCCGTCGTTACCTCACGGCAGTTATCACTCAGGTACACTGATCTGTTCCATGGAATATAAGCACCGTGTGTCTCTTTAAACCACGTTTATCGCTACATACATTATACATAATACGTTCTGTTTGCAGAAAAAAAAAATAGATTCCTCTTCGGCTCGAGTTAAGATAACTGGTAAAAAAATTATCTGAGTGATCAATTAGAAAGTTATCAGTTTGATCGTGTAGACACACGTCTGGTTTTGAGGACTCGCTTAGACGACGCTTGTTCTCATTTCGGCAAATGTATGTAAGCACTTTAGGGCTTTCTTGGCGCAAGCCTATGAAGCGGCAGGACAACCATATGCCATCAAGCGCTGAGATTTAAAGGAACGATAACGGTACATGTATGGTTACCGTGGCAATGCAATCGGAGTGATCCGTAATACTCGTTTAGTTCGACAGGTCATTTTGGGATAGGGTAGTTAGGATAGTCATACCAAAACTATAGTTTCAAATTTAATTAATCGTCATAAAGTCGGATACATCATTAGCAAATATTGAAATATAGCAAATGATTGATTGATTGATAATAAGTAATTCAGCCATTACTGATATATGAAGCAGCAACAAATACATTTAGTACAATCGCAACTTCTAAAGCTACTTGTCACTGGTCCGTTGTTTTCCTTAAGACAGGACAACGATATAGGCCGATATGCCCTGTGGACTGGGTAAATGTAAAGCGTTTAAATTCATATTTTATTGGTTCCAAATTTGGTAAGGTTCACAATCTCACCCAGAGCAGGGACGTTGCCCTTTTTGCAAGAGCTTTTCTGTATCAATCGTTATGGTCTGGGGCTGGTGCTCGTTAGTATTTAAAAAAGAATTGCGTTCCCGTATTCAGACAAGGGCATAGTGCTTGAGAAAATGCGCACCTTGGGTTCCTGCACGCAAACAATGAATCTGTTAATGGTGATTTCAAATCATTGATCAGGCCAGCTACAAAAGAAGTATTTTATATAGAAATCTTAAATAACAAGTTACCAAAGTTCAAAACCTTTGAATTGTTTTAGTTTGGAACTATTTTTTTCAATATTTACTACCTATGCCTCATGACTTCTACATGAGCCATGCTGTCGGAATAACGACTGAAACCGCCTATTTATTTAAGACTTACGTGCTACCAAAGAACATAAAATGAAAATATTACACTTAAGAAGTAACGCAAATGCGAACTAAACCAGTTGACACTGGGAGCACTATAGCACATGTTACAGAGCGATATAACTATATAATTACAATTCAATTACGCATACACAACGATTATAGAATAACTTTACGGAACTAGGAAGAAAAGAAGGATCATTAACGATAATCTTCTACAAAGGCGTTTGCATAATTATGTATAGATTCTGTGCCAAAATGTATATTGTCACCGAATGACAGCATGATGAGACGTCAGTTCCCCCCAATTGCGTCAGTTCTGGAATTCACTCTTTTAGACGAAACCAATTTTCTATTGGACCTCGTATTTACAGATCTATTTATTAAATCTGCTTTTTACACCTGAACATTGTAGCCATCCAGTGAGGACGTGAATAAAATATGATTCGTGATAGTAGTTGTGAAGCCCTATTTATCTTAAGCTTTTCCATTGCACTATTGTATTAGGTGTCGATAACTTGAAACTAAAAGAAACTTAAAACATCAACGGGGTGTTAAAGACGAATAAATTTAACTTACGCTCTAGCATATTGGGTAAGTTATTTGTACGTTGTCGAATTACGTCTCGGGTCTCTTGAATTCGAATCCGTTCTCTCAATCATCCTATGTAACAGTTGTTTCGTATGTCATCTGGATATTAGACCTACAAGTTCATTTCTTGCTGTCTCCGCAGTGAGGTTCGTTTTCAAAAATGTGTTCATCCACCCAAGTGAGGGCTCTTTTGCACTTCATTACCGCATGTCTTACTGTTATGACTTACTGTTTTACTTGACATAGTATACCAGGTGCATACAGAACGTCGACAAGATCGTCTCTCTGAAACGGAACGTTTGTCCCCGTGTCAGCTGTAAGCGTCCCCTGTGGGTCTGCGGCCTGGATGCGCCGTTCGACCGTCGCAGAAGACGACCTTAAACAGACGCTCAGAACATCACTAATAACTGCAAACAGATTCATTGGCGAGATTTGTGCATTCATTGAGGCTGTCTAATGCTGTTTTTAAAATAATCAAAAACTATATTTTTATAGATCATATAAAATATAGCTAACAGCATAAGGTATGGGCAGAACGTGGGTACACCGGCATAGTAAATATTGAGTCCTTAGGCTTAAGCAGCTGACTCATGTTCCCAAATGCCTCCCCACATTCGGCATCGGCTATTAGGCAAATGCACTATGTAATTATTGTACATCTACGTACGATTGGGCGAAATCAATATAGAAGTTTAGAAAATAGTGCAACGGAAAACAAAACGCAATAGAAGCCTTTAAAGGTGATCGACTTTTCGTTGTGAAGCCTTTTTAAGGCCGATTAGTTTTTGTAGTTGGTTTTTGGGGCCAGTGCCGTTATCTATCGATGCCGCCCTTCAACGGTGGCTATATGTAAAAACAATTGCGCATCCATTACTTAGTGTAGCAAAGTGTTTTTCCGTTGGGGTCCCCGATACGTACCTCCGCTTGGACACTACTGGCGCTACTGTAGCACAGCTGGCGCTGGAATCGTCGGCTGCTTTTTTACAGTCCATTTTTGACTATGTTAAATGAAAACCTATCGAGTCGAAAGTGCTTTTCTTCTAAAGAATGCTAGAAACCACGTACGTGCTGAGGTCATGGGTGAATCCAGTCAACTCAAACGATAATTGAAACTCTAATATAAAACTACCGCTAAAAAGTTGCCGTACATAAGAGATATTGGTACCGCTGTATTACTCTCAATATAAAGGTAATTAAAATCAATGTATTAGTAGTGGTACCA